TACAATCGTGATGGAAAAAAAAATGTACAAAATGATGTAAAAATAAACTTATGTTTAAAAAAAAATAATATAGCAGTTTATTTTTACATCATTTTGAGCCTTTTTCTATCTCAGTTGTAATCCCCATGGGCTTCCCATCACCAAATCACCCATGTGTCATCACCATAGTCCAGTGCACTCTCCGCCCCCTATTTTTGATCCCATTCCCCACTCCATCCCTGTAAAATATATCTGATATATAGTTGTTCATTATTATTATTCCCCCTCCCCCAGTCCTTTATGCTCCTGCTATGAGTGAAACCATCTGGTGTTTTTCTTTTTCTTCTGGCTTATTTCACTAAGCATGATCCCTTCCAGCTCCATCCATGTTGCTGCAAAAGTCATGAGTTTATCTTTTTGAATGCTGAGTAATATTCCATTGTGTATATGTACCACATCTTTTAAATGCAGTCATCTGATGTAGAACATTTCTTTAATGAAGAATTACAAAGATTAAAATTGAAATGTCTCTTTTTAGATACAATATTAATATTAGATGCACACTGTGTAAAGCCACTTTGTAGAGAAACCTTAAAAAATGGGACTATATATACCCTAGATACTATTTTTATTAAAAGTATACATTTCAATTATAATGGAATAATAGATATGAAAAATAATTATTAAACTTCAAATAAAGGGTTCTGCATGATACTACTGTCCCAAATGATTATTCCAAGGTTTAAAAAAAAGACTATAAGGTATTAAAAGGTTTATTTTTATTTTGCCCACTTGGTAGCATTCACAAATATTAATTCCCATATTTGTTGAAGATTAATTCTACATTTACTTTTTAAACTATTTATTTTCTTACAGTGTTGTATATTTCTGGACAGTATTTGATTTTTCCCTCAGGTATAGTCCCCATAGTTCTCCCACTAGCATAGTACCTGTGATCCATCTTGGCATTCTTCAAAAAGAGAAATACAAATATTGCTGAGGCCCTCCCTGGTGGTGCAGCGGGTTAAAGCACTGCACTGGGAAGCTAAAGCCACTTCCGCATGAGTTCGAGTCCCGCCTGCGCGGGAGGTAACCACATGGCGCGGCAGACCTCTCCTGACCCGCCCGCTGCTCCCCTCAGCAGTGTACTTCGTCGTTCTGCCTGTTCTGTTGCCCACTCTGTCTCTGGTGAAGCCTCTCGCCACCCCTGAGCCTCTGGCCTGTACCCCAGTTCTGTATGCACAAATAAATAAATCTTTAAAAAAAAAAAACAACAAATATTGCTGAAATTCATATGAAATCACACACATACCAAACACCAAATAGCCAAACCTAACCTGACTAAAAAGTGGAATAATGGAGGCACTACATTTTCAGACTTCAAACTATACTACAAAGTCATAATAATGAAAACAGCATGGGCACACAGACCAATGGAATTGAATAGTTCTACATTTACGCATTCCTATTGGTTTGTACTAGTCACTTTACCATGACATCTCCATTTCTGAGTTATTTTTAATACCTTTTATTGGTGAAGTGGTAGCAAGTATTTTCTTTCCAAAAAATTCTCAAGATTATTTTAGTTCTTAAGGTGCAAGCCTGTCTCTCTGTCATCTTTATATCTGAATAACACCTTGGCTGGTTATAACATTCTTTGTTCTCTCTCTTCACACTAAATGGCAGTAGAGAGATCTGAAACTGTTTGAATTTTTTCCTCCTTTGAAAGAAATTGACTTTTTTGTTTGGCATTGGAAAATGAATTCTTTATCCTTACAGTTTAATAGCTTACCCAAGATATGTTTTAGCTTTGAGCAGTCTATTATATTTCCTAGAACAGATTTGGCCTTATATTTATTTCTAAGAAATTTTCTTATATATTTCAACATAGCTTCTGTTCCATTTGTTAGAGACTCTATTCAGCAACTCCAATTATTATCCTCAGATTATTTAACATTTGAATGTCTTCATATCTGTTAGATTCTTTCTCTGCTTTTCATTTCCCTGTCTGTCATCTGTACTTACTTTTTCTGTTGTTAGTCAACAGATTTTCAACAAGATCTCTTACATACATTAAAATTTCTTCTTCTATGGCATTATGCTGTTTTTGGTCTTTGATATGTTAGACTTTCATTTTCCCTTTGCATTTCATTCTTATTTTGTCACCTTGCTTTAAGCTATTTAAAAATATATTTATACATGTACTGAATGCTAAAAGTTGAGCATTTAAGATTCTTATAAGACAATGTATAGACTCTATTACTGTTCCTTATATCTTTTTTCCTTTGAGGGCTAGTTTTTAAGCATGTAAGGAATAGTGGGAAAGTTAGAAACCAAAAGCCATCAGTTATTGATCACCTTTCCAAAAGAAGATTATTAACCACAACTTTCTGCAGCTTGGATATAAATAAATATCTGCACTTCTTTTCAGCAACGATAATATAGGGGTTTTGTCCTGCTTTATGACAAGCTTGCAAAGTCAAAGGAATTATACTTGCTGTGGGAACAGTGACTTGTGATCGCCTGATTTCTGTAGTTAAAATTGCAGCCCAGAAGAGGCATTAATAATTTTTCGTAGTTACCCCAAGATGAACACTATCATTAGCCTTTTTTCCTTTCCCTAGAAACAACATTTAGCTTGTTGCTAATGGAGCAATTTTCTGATGAGTCTTATTAGCAAAGATAGCCGATTTCGTTAATTATTCTCTTTCCCTACATGACCCTTTCCACTCAATAATAGGTGGTGGAGATTGGAGTGGAAAATGGCTGCATTTCTGGAGAACTGCTTCAACTCTCCCTTTCACTTTTCTTAAGTAGAAAGATGTTTCTGAGGATTCAGCTGCAAACTTCTTCCAGATCTCTGGAACTCTGGGCATAATTAGTAGACTTTAAATCACCTCATTAGTTCACCTATCAAAGGATTTTCATTCCACCTCTGAGCTATTCTGATCCATCTGATTCTTACTTCTGGAAAGTTCTGTGAGTCCTCTCAACCAGACAGAGATTTAGGAGCAATTTTACTGAAGTTGTTGAGTTCTGTTAACTTGAAAGGGTGATTTGGCTCACCCATGCAGCTCAAAGCATTGTGAAAGAAAACAAAGTTGGGATTTTTCAGTAACAACAAATAATTGAGGGTTTTTGCTGAGTTTGTCCATCACATGTGTGCAGGGCTCATCAAGACCTTTGTGGATGTACATGTGCTTCTATCTGCCTGGAAGCACACATATGCAGAATCAAAAAGGGGACACATGAGTTAAGAGTCACGCTGGCTCTATCAATTAGCACTTTGGCTACTTGGGTTCTAGGTTGGTAGACTACCTTGGTCTGTGTTCCTAGGGGAAAGAGTAGGAGAATG